ATGTTAGAAATGTTAGAAATTTTGCATCCCTTGAGGCAGGGAATAGATTCCTTTTCAATCTTAATGTGGCGTTTGACCATTCTCTTGCCTATTCAATGTATGACTTCCCTTTTCCCCTCATAACTGATGTTTCCCCTTATCATTTATTCTATTACCCCTTCATCCTCATACACCATATTTTTTGGACTATAAGACGCACAGGAGTATAAGACACAGCATAATTTTGAAGAGGTAATTTTTTTAAAGGGTTTTGCACTCTGTAGGCCTCCCAAACCCTCTGCACGTCTCGTGTTTTTTTCAAAGGGGGGAATGCAGAGTTTTGGGAGGCTTGTAGAGTGCCGCTGGGGGCTGGGAAAGCAAAAACGGCCTGTTTTTTGATTAAAAAAAGAGGGGCATGGAGAGCCTTAGGAAGCTCTTAAGAGTGCTCCTGGGGCCTGGAGGGCAAAAATGGCCTGTTTTTTTGCACAAAAAAGGGCCTGCAGAGGGTTTGAGAGGTTTGTAGAGTGCTCCTGGGGGCTGGGGAGGGGCAGAAATGAGAAAGAACAGGCCGTTTTTTGCCTGGTTTTGCCCTCCCCAGTCCTCAGGAGCACTTTGCAAGCCTCTGAAACCCTCTGCACGTCCATTTTTGCAAAGGACGCGGGGTTTCAGTAGGCCAAAAATGCTGTATTCGGTGTATAAGATGCATACAGATTTCCCCCCTCTTTTTCGAGGAAAAAGGTGCATCTTATACTCCAAAAAATACGGTATATGAAATATGATTGGACCATCTTCAGCCCAAACAATGACTTTAAAAAAAAATTAAGTAGGAAAAAAGTTCAAGTATCAGTTGTTTGTTTCAGTTTTAAAAAAAAGACAAGTGCAAGGGTGGGCAACTAAAAACTACTAGTGGCAAATGAACTCCAACATGAAATACTCTTGGATTTATGGCCCTGTCATAATACACATTTAACTGTTCGTTTGCAACTTTTTCTTGACTTTACATGTTGAAATGCTTATTTATATTACAGCCCTGCACAAAAAGTAAAATATTTAGAAACAATATGCAAAAAATCATTTGACTAAAAATATGTGATTGTTAAATTATGACTATAACTTAATTTTGTTCACAATCAAAATAGATTATTGAATTGTATATGCAATTCCTCATAAAGCACTTACAAGACAAACGAATTTGTTTGAAAATGGTTCACTAAGTTAAATTTTATTCAATACATTCCCTACCTGAAGGACAGGCACTTTTTGCGGTGTGTTCTGTGGTGATTGGTGAAGCTGTGCCCAAGGCTGATGGTGAGAATGTGGTGGTGGTGAAGACTGATGATGAATTCCCGTATGAGGCTGCATGGGAGAACATGTTGGCATTTGCTGTTGAAAAGATGACTGACTGGGATGCTGCTGACCAGATATTAATCGTTCTTGTATTGCTTGTGGATCAGCAAGGCTAACACCTGGACAACCGTTTGGTCTCATGTGACCACCCATTTCCCGTGGTGCTGAAGACATACCCATGAATGGACGATTCTGTTGTATATTCCGAGGACCCATACTCCTCTGTCCAATTCCCATGGCACTAGATGGCTGGTGAGATGGCTGAGGATGTGGTATATTTGGATAATTGCCAACTTCCATTGGTATTCCAGCACTACCAGGTCTGACCTGTGGTGGAGGAGTACCTGCTGGGTTACTCATTGCTTTCATAGGTGACATGGGAGGTGGAGAAGCATAAGTTCCCTGAGGCTGTGATGGGTGCATAGCTTGAGTGTTCATTTGGTTAAGTGAGCCACTAGGGTGAAGGGGCTGCTGGTGTATTAGTCCTTGACTACTGTTAGATGGAAACCCTACGGCATTTGGGTATCTTGGTACAGACTGATTCATTGGAGTGTTATTTGTAAGGCCTATATTTTGATTCATCCCTGTATTGTTTACTAATCCCTGATTTAGGTTGCTGTAAGGATAACGAGAATACTGCCCTGAGCTGTTTATAGTAGGTGAAGGTACTGTCTGGCCCCGAGAACTAAAATTAAGTGTTTGTGGCCTAACGGCACCCTGTTGAGGAGGGTTGGAAGAGAATCTGGGACTGTGGGCTACTGATTCTCCATGGAGAGCTGTGGGGGGATGATGATGAAACTGTTGCACTGAATGTCGTAAAGAAGGCCCAATGCTTGGATTTTGTTGGGGCACATGAGACATGTGGCCAGGTCCTGAGGTGGTAATAAAAGGATTTCCCTGATTAAGACCTTCCTGGCTTTGAGAAAACTGATTTATCCTCTGTTGCTGGGGTTGACCGTGCTGCTGTATTGAAAAGTCACCACGAGCCATGTAATTTCCCAACTGCTGCATATGCTGAGGATGTCCCTGTCCCTGTGGTCCCGATGGTGTTGATGGTGGTTGGGCAGGTGATGGTTGCTGCTGCTGGTATGGTGCCCGTATCTGGTCTGGCACATGTACTGCCCTTGGCCCCCACATAGAGCTGCTATCTACAAAGGGTTGTCCATGTCTTTCATTCTGCATACCAGGATAGACTCCCATCTGACTACCAGTGCCTCCACCATGAGGAACTGGAGGATTGTGATATTGTGAATGAGGAGATGCTATACCATTGCCAGGCGCACTGCTCATCATTCTGTTGGGCTGATCCATTAAATGCATTTTCTGTTGCTCATACTGATTATAGTGATCAAAGTGAGTCAACTTTGCTTGATTTTGACTGGCTGTAGGGTGATGAAGGGATGACTGTAGTGAGGGAAATCCTTGATCAATAGGGATTTGTTGCCCCATAGAGTTTACTGAATTTTCAGGATATCCACAATCACCTAGGCTTTCCAGTCCTTCACTGAAAATGTTCCCATCTTCTCCAAAAAGACTCATCATTCCTGGATCTGCCATCTTTGTTGCAGCATGCAGTGCCTTATAACTAGAATACTAGTTTGTGCTTCACCTCACCAAGATGTTTATCTTCAGAGCCTTAGTCATCAACCAAATGCCTTAATGTCATTCCATATTTCCTTAATTTTGTGGATCATGGAGTGTCAGGCAGCTTGTTACCAATCCTAAAAAGAAAAAAAATACAAAAATAGGTTGAAAATAAAAAGCCAAGTCATAATTATAGATATCAGACCTTTATATTTATGTCACATGGAAGCTTTTAATATTTTTATTTACCCAGGTAGGAAAATTTATTATATAAAAAATTCAAAAGGCAGGAAACAGGAATCTTAAATTAATCCACTACCTATACTTTCTTATCTTCCATTCCTGGAGAACAACAAAAGAACACAACAGACAGCTGAAGCAGCTGCACAGCAGGCAGTATAATACATGAATATAAGCAAACAGCCCATCTGCTGAACAAAACCCTGAAAATCCTCTAGTTACTAACAACATGTCCTTAACCATATATTCCCGAGCTATGTAATCTGATAAAAGAGAAAGTCTAGGCAAATGTTACAATAAACTAAAAACTGATCTGGCAATATATATCTCCCTCAATTTATTGGTCATTTGACTAACATGTAAATCCGATCTGATAAATAACTAAATTGCAAACAAAAACTGACTAAAGTTTAATACTACTAGTTTAGTACTTTCAAGAATTTCCATGCATAATCCTACCAATTAAAAATAAATCAGAATTATTTTTTCCATATTATAGATATAGAGAACTGAGGCTAAAAACTGCACCTTGTCTTTGGTCATCTATCAAAGTTCACATCAGCGAATTCAAGATTGTTTAACATTTTCAACAAAGGAAACATTTAAACTATAATTTTCTGATTTGCAACTCCACCTCTATATAACTAGGAAAGTTTTACCTACCGTATTTTTTGGAGTATAAGATGCATCTTTTCCCCTCAAACAAGAGGCTGAAAATCTGGGTGAGTCTTATACACTGAATACAGCATTTTTTTGCCTCCTGAAACCCTGCCCCTTCACCAAAATGGCCGTGCATAGCGTGTAGG